TGTATTTGACTGCTCTTATCTCCACTCAGTATGGCTGCTTGAATAGCTGCACCATAAGCGACAGCTTCGTCAGGATTAATTGACAAATTTAAACTCTTGCCACAGAAGAATGATTGAAGTAAGTTTTGTACTTTCGGTATACGAGTAGATCCACCAACTAATACAATATCATGAATTTGATTCTTATCCATTTTTGCATCTGTCAACGCTTTTTCTACTGGTTGCAATGTGTTGCGGAATAAATCTGCACAGAGCTCTTCAAAGCGTGCTCGACTTATTTTCGTATAGAAATCAATACCCTCAAATAATGCATCAATTTCGATTGTTGCTTCAGTACTAGAGGATAAAGTACGTTTGGCACGTTCAGCAGCTGTTCGCAGACGACGAAGTGCTCTTGGATTTGAGCGCAAATCCTTTTTGTATTTACGCTTAAATTCATCAGTCAAATAATTCACCAATCTGTTGTCGAAATCTTCACCACCCAAATGTGTATCACCAGCCGTAGATCGCACTTCGAACAGAGATCCTTCATCAATTGTCAAAATCGAAACATCGAATGTACCGCCACCTAAATCAAATATTAAAACGTTCCGTTCGCCCTTCAAGTTCTTGTCTAGCCCATACGCTAATGCAGCAGCTGTCGGTTCATTTATTATACGTAACACATTAAGACCAGCTATTGCACCAGCATCTTTTGTCGCTTGACGCTGCGAATCATTAAAATAGGCAGGTACTGTGATGACTGCATCTTTCACTGTTGTACCAAGATATGCTTCAGCTGTTTCTTTCATTTTAGTTAACACCATTGAGCTTATCTCTTCGGGTGCAAATCTCTTCTGTTCGCCTTTGAATTCGACGTTAATTTTTGGTTTACCACTGTCGTTCACCACTTTAAATGGCCAATGTTTCATATCTTCTTGTATTTTCTGGTCATCATATTTGCGGCCAATCAATCGTTTAGCGTCGAATACTGTATTCTTTGGATTCATTGCCACTTGGTTCTTAGCGGCGTCACCAATCAATCGCTCAGAATCTGTGAACGCAACATAGCTGGGTGTTGTACGATTGCCCTGGTCATTAGCGATGATTTCAACTTTTCCGTGCTGGAATACACCGACACATGAGTATGTTGTTCCCAAATCAATTCCAATTGCTGACATTTTCTTTCTTTATATGTATTCTTGTTTATTGATATTTGATAGTAATTTTTCAATTTAATATTTTTAATTCAATTCAATTCAATTTAAGTTTTAATATATATTGCTTATATATTGCTTTGAATAGTTTTCTTTCTTTTTAAACTTTGCACAAAAACTTTCTGACTTCTCCTCTTCTCAGTCAATCTTTTCACTTCAAATGTTTTGTATAAACTGATGCTCTTCGAATTTTCACCGCCTTTTATACAAAAATCTACATTTCAGAGAAGTATCTAGATACTCTTTCAAGAAACTTACAGAATATTCGGGAATCAAATGTTCAAGATACGCGACCAATAAATGAAGAGTTTAAGAGAAAGACAAATTTAAACACAAATTTAAAGAGTTCAGTGTATGCACACATTTTACCAGCTGCACAATAGTGAATATTAGCTTAGTATAATTGTGTGTGTAACGTGACAAACACAAGCACTCTCTTAAAATATTATAAAGGGAACATTAGAGTGCATTAGAGAACTTATTTATATAAAATATGTAAATGTGTGTGAATATGTTTTTCTGCATTGCCTCTAGAAATTTCCAAACAAACGTTATGAATGAAATGGTTTTATTATCGCTGTATATTGACCCGCTACGTCACAGCAACTTCTAGAATTGCCATTGAATTGCTACGACCAGAGACGCACAGCTTTGTACCAACAGTACTACGGTACTACGAAACTACGGCACTACGGCACTACGCTACGACGGTACTTGTGAAGAGAAAATTTTCATTTATAATAACAAATAACAAATAAAAATAACAAATTTCAATTTGTTGTCAATATATGCAAATTCATTTATCAATTCATTTTTGCTTATTTTTCAATCTACGACAAACAGACAAGCTTTCGCATATTGACGTAGGTTAGTAATAAACGGTAATTGTGTTTGACGATAAAAGAAAGCAAAATACTTCTTCATTCTCCTATTTTATATCATAGAAAAGGTACAGCGATACGATTTTGATTGATACGATCTATGTTAAGATCTATGTTTGAAACTAACTAAAATAAATAAATAATTTATCAGTTACCAGCTATCAGCTACCAGGTACGAGCTACGAGCTATCTGTATATCTGCAGCTATTGTAAAATTTCTACTCCACTTGCTCTGACATTGAGTACAAATCCTTAGCGATCTAATGTCATTAATATTAATATTACTTTTTTATAGTAGATCTAAATGCTGAAAAAACGAAATGTCTTATCCTGATTTAGAAATATACGAGAATGTACAGTCCATCATTTATTTGTTGTATACCAGCTGTTGTAGAATCTCTCTTGTAGTATTAAACTTCAAAGTTGAGAAGGGAGCGCACTCAAAACCCACTGACCATAGACTGATCAGTTTGTGATAATTTCTGTTAAAAATGCAGGACAAATTTCTTATCATCCACATCAAGAATACAATTAGTATTACTCTACTCTTTAGCATACTTATACTAAAAGCAAGTCTGTGGAAAGAGCACTTTTTCTATAAATTTTTTGTCTTCAAAGATTATAATTTTGTGGATATCGACTGTGCCTTTACTACTGTATACTTAACGCTATCACAAATTCCCTCTTAAATCTTAAGCGAGATGCAAGTCTGGTCAAAATTTTTAAGATACTACTTATTTCAACCCAATATAATCACCTCAGGTATCAAAACTACACTTGGCACATCTGTAATAGCTGTTCCTATACAGCTGTTATTGAACAGGATAAATTCTGAGTAGGAAGGACAGCTGTAGTACAAATTATTCGATCCTTAGTTTACGTCCCTACGAAAGCTCTTTTTACATCACTTCATTGATTACCATCCAAGTTTCTGATAAAATAATAAACTGGCTAAAGTGGAAATTAAACTAAATATATGTGGTTGGCTATGAAAGTTTGGATATATCAAGTTATTTTTCAGATCAGGAAATCCTCTTGGCCTAAATTGAAGAAATTCGCATCAGTATGCAAAACAAACTCAGTACTACGTTACTCTCTTCTTAATTCGTTTTAATGATCAAACGGCACTAACACATCTATGAAGAATGACAGTTACTGGACGTACACCCGACGACTCTTGAAAACTATCTGTAATCTCTTTGTACTATATTCTTAACCAAACGTAACCTTACTTAAGTTGAAAAGGCTTTGATAAATTTAGGAAAATAAATTATTCATTTCGTCACGGTGGAAAAGTAAAGTCAGTTGCGTTTTAAAATATTACAGTACTGTCAATATATGTATTTACTGAGGCGGTAGATAATAAAAAAATTAGATTATTTTTGTTTTTCATAAATTTTATGAACAATACACAGATTAGCGATGTATTCTATCTTAAACGGAATACATCGAATCCGGATGTGCTAAATATTTAGTTCAGCCAAATTTCCAACTGAGATATGTCATTGTAAAAGTAATAAGACTTATTTTTAATCTTATAGAATATGCCATGCAAGTAGTCACAACATAACATATGCTGTACGCACTGACTTTAAGTGAAGTATGGCAGACTTTTCAAAAGGATTGCTTTCTCACATACCAAAGTTGAGTCGAAACACTTCGTAATCTCAAGCTATACCGAGATGTGAAACTGAAAACGTATATTCGTTTGAATTCCAAACTTAAATAACTATCATGTAAAGAATCTTTCATCCATATAATGAAAATAATAGCATATCAAATGGTTGGAACGTTGATGATACTTTAGGATAGAAGCAAAATACACCTCAAAACAAAAACAAAAACAAAAACAAGAGATAATTCAAAAAATCAGTAGATCAGTAGTGCGCAGTTGAAATAGAACTGAGAAAGATGACCAAATTGATGGCACGACTTATCTGAAGGTACGAATAAATTAGTGATATAAAAAATTTGATAGATTAGGATAGGTAAAATACCAAAAAATCAGAAACATATTTATATTTTTCTCAAAACTTTTATTTATTTCTATTTGTAATTAGTAAGCAAAAATGAAAATCAAGTATCTTCCCAATCAAGTTAAGTAAATAAAACAAATAAATTCATTTTAATTTAAAAATTTTAGACTTTATTTTAAACTAAATATTGTACTTAAAGTTAACTTACACTTAGTTAACAAACTTATTTATTAAATAAATATTTAAACTAGAACACAGTCTTTAAGTAATACAATTTCATCGATAGATCAAATTAACATATACATCTACATCTAAAAATAAGTTTTCACTAAATTACAATATTTACAATTTAAAGTTTACAATTTACAATTTACAAATCTTTGGCATTTAGTCAACTTCTTCAACAGTTGGACCTCTGTAGTTGCCACCACCAAAACCTCCGGCTTGTTGACCGCAACTGGTTGGTTCTGTGCCTGGTTTGCCCTTGCCCTGTTGGTGCATCTTTGTCATAATCGGACTACAAATTTTAGTTAATTCCTCCATTCTATATTCATATTCTTCTTTCTCAGCTGTGGTGTTGTTATCGAGCCATTTTATGGTTTCATTGCATTTCTCAACCACATTATTCTTATCCGATTGATCTAATTTATCAGCAGCATCATCTATGGCCTGTTTAACATTAAATACATAAGTTTCAAGTTGATTTCGTGCGGCGATTCGCTGTCTCGCTTTTTCATCTTCTTCGGCATACTTCTCAGCTTCATTTACCATTCGATCAATTTCACTTTGCGACAAACGACCCTTATCATTTTTGATGGTTATGTTCTTTACGTTACCAGTACTCATCTCTTTTGCTGCAACATTTAAGATGCCATTTGCATCCAAATCGAAGGTGACATCAATTTTAGGAACTCCACGAGGAGCTGGTGGTATGCCAGTTAAATTGAATGTTCCAAGAAGATTGTTATCTTTTGTCATGACTCGTTCACCTTCAAATACTTGAATAGTGACTGCAGGTTGGTTATCAGCATAAGTGGTGAATGTTTTTGTTTGTTTACATGGAATGCGACTATTACGTTCTATTAACTTTGTCATAACACCACCAGCAGTTTCAATACCCAACGAAAGCGGAGCAACGTCAACTAGTAGTACATCTTGTATTTGACTGCTCTTATCTCCACTCAGTATGGCTGCTTGAATAGCTGCACCATAAGCGACAGCTTCGTCAGGATTAATTGACAAATTTAAACTCTTGCCACAGAAGAATGATTGAAGTAAGTTTTGTACTTTCGGTATACGAGTAGATCCACCAACTAATACAATATCATGAATTTGATTCTTATCCATTTTTGCATCTGTCAACGCTTTTTCTACTGGTTGCAATGTGTTGCGGAATAAATCTGCACAGAGCTCTTCAAAGCGTGCTCGACTTATTTTCGTATAGAAATCAATACCCTCAAATAATGCATCAATTTCGATTGTTGCTTCAGTACTAGAGGATAAAGTACGTTTGGCACGTTCAGCAGCTGTTCGCAGACGACGAAGTGCTCTTGGATTTGAGCGCAAATCCTTTTTGTATTTACGCTTAAATTCATCAGTCAAATAATTCACCAATCTGTTGTCGAAATCTTCACCACCCAAATGTGTATCACCAGCCGTAGATCGCACTTCGAACAGAGATCCTTCATCAATTGTCAAAATCGAAACATCGAATGTACCGCCACCTAAATCAAATATTAAAACGTTCCGTTCGCCCTTCAAGTTCTTGTCTAGCCCATACGCTAATGCAGCAGCTGTCGGTTCATTTATTATACGTAACACATTAAGACCAGCTATTGCACCAGCATCTTTTGTCGCTTGACGCTGCGAATCATTAAAATAGGCAGGTACTGTGATGACTGCATCTTTCACTGTTGTACCAAGATATGCTTCAGCTGTTTCTTTCATTTTAGTTAACACCATTGAGCTTATCTCTTCGGGTGCAAATCTCTTCTGTTCGCCTTTGAATTCGACGTTAATTTTTGGTTTACCACTGTCGTTTACCACTTTAAATGGCCAATGTTTCATATCTTCTTGTATTTTCTGGTCATCATATTTGCGGCCAATCAATCGTTTAGCGTCGAATACTGTATTCTTTGGATTCATTGCCACTTGGTTCTTAGCGGCGTCACCAATCAATCGCTCAGAATCTGTGAACGCAACATAGCTGGGTGTTGTACGATTGCCCTGGTCATTAGCGATGATTTCAACTTTTCCGTGCTGGAATACACCGACACATGAGTATGTTGTTCCCAAATCAATTCCAATTGCTGACATTTTCTTTCTTTATATGTATTCTTGTTTATTGATATTTGATAGTAATTTTTCAATTTAAAATTTTTAATTCAATTCAATTTAAGTTTTAATATATATTGCTTATATATTGCTTTGAATAGTTTTCTTTCTTTTTAAACTTTGCACAAAAACTTTCTGACTTCTCCTCTTCTCAGTCAATCTTTTCACTTCAAATGTTTTGTATAAACTGATGCTCTTCGAATTTTCACCGCCTTTTATACAAAAATCTACATTTCAAAGAAGTATCTAGATACTCTTTCAAGAAACTTACAGAATATTCGGGAACCAAATGTTCAAGATACGCGACCAATAAATGAAGAGTTTAAGAGAAAGACAAATTTAAACACAAATTTAAAGAGTTCAGTGTATGCACACATTTTACCAGCTGCACAATAGTGAATATTAGCTTAGTATAATTGTGTGTGTAACGTGACAAACACAAGCACTCTCTTAAAATATTATAAAGGGAATATTAGAGTGCATTAGAGAACTTATTTATATAAAATATGTAAATGTGTGTGAATATGTTTTTCTGCATTGCCTCTAGAAATTTCCAAACAAACGTTATGAATGAAATGGTTTTATTATCGCTGTATATTGACCCGCTACGTCACAGCAACTTCTAGAATTGCCATTGAATTGCTACGACCAGAGACGCACAGCTTTGTACCAACAGTACTACGGTACTACGAAACTACGGCACTACGGCACTACGCTACGACGGTACTTGTGAAGAGAAAATTTTCATTTATAATAACAAATAACAAATAAAAATAACAAATTTCAATTTGTTGTCAATATATGCAAATTCATTTATCAATTCATTTTTGCTTATTTTTCAATCTACGACAAACAGACAAGCTTTCGCATATTGACGTAGGTTAGTAATAAACGGTAATTGTGTTTGACGATAAAAGAAAGCAAAATACTTCTTCATTCTCCTATTTTATATCATAGAAAAGGTACAGCGATACGATTTTGATTGATACGATCTATGTTAAGATCTATGTTTGAAACTAACTAAAATAAATAAATAATTTATCAGTTACCAGCTATCAGCTACCAGGTACGAGCTACGAGCTATCTGTATATCTGCAGCTATTGTAAAATTTCTACTCCACTTGCTCTGACATTGAGTACAAATCCTTAGCGATCTAATGGCATTAATATTAATATTACTTTTTTTATAGTAGATCTAAATGCTGAAAAAACGAAATGTCTTATCCTGATTTAGAAATATACGAGAATGTACAGTCCATCATTTATTTGTTGTATACCAGCTGTTGTAGAATCTCTCTTGTAGTATTAAACTTCAAAGTTGAGAAGGGAGCGCACTCAAAACCCACTGACCATAGACTGATCAGTTTGTGATAATTTCTGTTAAAAATGCAGGACAAATTTCTTATCATCCACATCAAGAATACAATTAGTATTACTCTACTCTTTAGCATACTTATACTAAAAGCAAGTCTGTGGAAAGAGCACTTTTTCTATAAATTTTTTGTCTTCAAAGATTATAATTTTGTGGATATCGACTGTGCCTTTACTACTGTATACTTAACGCTATCACAAATTCCCTCTTAAATCTTAAGCGAGATGCAAGTCTGGTCAAAATTTTTAAGATACTACTTATTTCAACCCAATATAATCACCTCAGGTATCAAAACTACACTTGGCACATCTGTAATAGCTGTTCCTATACAGCTGTTATTGAACAGGATAAATTCTGAGTAGGAAGGACAGCTGTAGTACAAATTATTCGATCCTTAGTTTACGTCCCTACGAAAGCTCTTTTTACATCACTTCATTGATTACCATCCAAGTTTCTGATAAAATAATAAACTGGCTAAAGTGGAAATTAAACTAAATATATGTGGTTGGCTATGAAAGTTTGGATATATCAAGTTATTTTTCAGATCAGGAAATCCTCTTGGCCTAAATTGAAGAAATTCGCATCAGTATGCAAAACAAACTCAGTACTACGTTACTCTCTTCTTAATTCGTTTTAATGATCAAACGGCACTAACACATCTATGAAGAATGACAGTTACTGGACGTACACCCGACGACTCTTGAAAACTATCTGTAATCTCTTTGTACTATATTCTTAACCAAACGTAACCTTACTTAAGTTGAAAAGGCTTTGATAAATTTAGGAAAATAAATTATTCATTTCGTCACGGTGGAAAAGTAAAGTCAGTTGCGTTTTAAAATATTACAGTACTGTCAATATATGTATTTACTGAGGCGGTAGATAATAAAAAAATTAGATTATTTTTGTTTTTCATAAATTTTATGAACAATACACAGATTAGCGATGTATTCTATCTTAAACGGAATACATCGAATCCGGATGTGCTAAATATTTAGTTCAGCCAAATTTCCAACTGAGATATGTCATTGTAAAAGTAATAAGACTTATTTTTAATCTTATAGAATATGCCATGCAAGTAGTCACAACATAACATATGCTGTACGCACTGACTTTAAGTGAAGTATGGCAGACTTTTCAAAAGGATTGCTTTCTCACATACCAAAGTTGAGTCGAAACACTTCGTAATCTCAAGCTATACCGAGATGTGAAACTGAAAACGTATATTCGTTTGAATTCCAAACTTAAATAACTATCATGTAAAGAATCTTTCATCCATATAATGAAAATAATAGCATATCAAATGGTTGGAACGTTGATGATACTTTAGGATAGAAGCAAAATACACCTCAAAACAAAAACAAAAACAAAAACAAGAGATAATTCAAAAAATCAGTAGATCAGTAGTGCGCAGTTGAAATAGAACTGAGAAAGATGACCAAATTGATGGCACGACTTATCTGAAGGTACGAATAAATTAGTGATATAAAAAATTTGATAGATTAGGATAGGTAAAATACCAAAAAATCAGAAACATATTTATATTTTTCTCAAAACTTTTATTTATTTCTATTTGTAATTAGTAAGCAAAAATGAAAATCAAGTATCTTCCCAATCAAGTTAAGTAAATAAAACAAATAAATTCATTTTAATTTAAAAATTTTAGACTTTATTTTAAACTAAATATTGTACTTAAAGTTAACTTACACTTAGTTAACAAACTTATTTATTAAATAAATATTTAAACTAGAACACAGTCTTTAAGTAATACAATTTCATCGATAGATCAAATTAACATATACATCTACATCTAAAAATAAGTTTTCACTAAATTACAATATTTACAATTTAAAGTTTACAATTTACAATTTACAAATCTTTGGAATTTAGTCAACTTCTTCAACAGTTGGACCTCTGTAGTTGCCACCACCAAAACCTCCGGCTTGTTGACCGCAACTGGTTGGTTCTGTGCCTGGTTTGCCCTTGCCCTGTTGGTGCATCTTTGTCATAATCGGACTACAAATTTTAGTTAATTCCTCCATTCTATATTCATATTCTTCTTTCTCAGCTGTGGTGTTGTTATCGAGCCATTTTATGGTTTCATTGCATTTCTCAACCACATTATTCTTATCCGATTGATCTAATTTATCAGCAGCATCATCTATGGCCTGTTTAACATTAAATACATAAGTTTCAAGTTGATTTCGTGCGGCGATTCGCTGTCTCGCTTTTTCATCTTCTTCGGCATACTTCTCAGCTTCATTTACCATTCGATCAATTTCACTTTGCGACAAACGACCCTTATCATTTTTGATGGTTATGTTCTTTACGTTACCAGTACTCATCTCTTTTGCTGCAACATTTAAGATGCCATTTGCATCCAAATCGAAGGTGACATCAATTTTAGGAACTCCACGAGGAGCTGGTGGTATGCCAGTTAAATTGAATGTTCCAAGAAGATTGTTATCTTTTGTCATGACTCGTTCACCTTCAAATACTTGAATAGTGACTGCAGGTTGGTTATCAGCATAAGTGGTGAATGTTTTTGTTTGTTTACATGGAATGCGACTATTACGTTCTATTAACTTTGTCATAACACCACCAGCAGTTTCAATACCCAACGAAAGCGGAGCAACGTCAACTAGTAGTACATCTTGTATTTGACTGCTCTTATCTCCACTCAGTATGGCTGCTTGAATAGCTGCACCATAAGCGACAGCTTCGTCAGGATTAATTGACAAATTTAAACTCTTGCCACAGAAGAATGATTGAAGTAAGTTTTGTACTTTCGGTATACGAGTAGATCCACCAACTAATACAATATCATGAATTTGATTCTTATCCATTTTTGCATCTGTCAACGCTTTTTCTACTGGTTGCAATGTGTTGCGGAATAAATCTGCACAGAGCTCTTCAAAGCGTGCTCGACTTATTTTCGTATAGAAATCAATACCCTCAAATAATGCATCAATTTCGATTGTTGCTTCAGTACTAGAGGATAAAGTACGTTTGGCACGTTCAGCAGCTGTTCGCAGACGACGAAGTGCTCTTGGATTTGAGCGCAAATCCTTTTTGTATTTACGCTTAAATTCATCAGTCAAATAATTCACCAATCTGTTGTCGAAATCTTCACCACCCAAATGTGTATCACCAGCCGTAGATCGCACTTCGAACAGAGATCCTTCATCAATTGTCAAAATCGAAACATCGAATGTACCGCCACCTAAATCAAATATTAAAACGTTCCGTTCGCCCTTCAAGTTCTTGTCTAGCCCATACGCTAATGCAGCAGCTGTCGGTTCATTTATTATACGTAACACATTAAGACCAGCTATTGCACCAGCATCTTTTGTCGCTTGACGCTGCGAATCATTAAAATAGGCAGGTACTGTGATGACTGCATCTTTCACTGTTGTACCAAGATATGCTTCAGCTGTTTCTTTCATTTTAGTTAACACCATTGAGCTTATCTCTTCGGGTGCAAATCTCTTCTGTTCGCCTTTGAATTCGACGTTAATTTTTGGTTTACCACTGTCGTTCACCACTTTAAATGGCCAATGTTTCATATCTTCTTGTATTTTCTGGTCATCATATTTGCGGCCAATCAATCGTTTAGCGTCGAATACTGTATTCTTTGGATTCATTGCCACTTGGTTCTTAGCGGCGTCACCAATCAATCGCTCAGAATCTGTGAATGCAACATAGCTGGGTGTTGTACGATTGCCCTGGTCATTAGCGATGATTTCAACTTTTCCGTGCTGGAATACACCGACACATGAGTATGTTGTTCCCAAATCAATTCCAATTGCTGACATTTTCTTTCTTTATATGTATTCTTGTTTATTGATAT